TAAAAAATCTATATGAAAAAGAATATATATATTTATATGTATAAATGAATCACTATGCTATACACCAAAAACTAACACAACATTGTGAATCAACTAAACTTCAGTTTAAAAAAAAAGAAAAAATCACTGCATTTATCCACCTACGTGAGTTCATACGTATAAAGCTCTTAGCACAGTGCCCAGCCGGCAGGAACAGTCAGTGGTTGTGAGCTGTTGCTATGAGAGATGACATGCCCACTCCAGACTGAAACTCACAGTCACTCAAGGGCAGCAGCTAGAGGAGGACTGGCCTGAGAGGGCGACAGCTGCAATTTTTGCACCATCATGCAAAGGACACACACATTATCGCCACATCGTGCAGATAGAAAATTGGGGAAAACAGAAGCATAGATATGCTCACGCTGTGGTCTCTCTCCCACATTGTTCAGGGATGAGCCAGATGGTCCCTGCTTTCTCCCAAAAGAGGACTTCTATAGGGATACAGATGCCACCATGGACATCATAAGTCACCTCAGGGCGGAGGAAGGGGCCGTAGAACCACCCAAGGCAAAGTCAGGGTCCAAGTTCATGTCTATTCAGGTGTCCTCTCATCAGATGGCATCACAAAAAATTTCCATCCAATCACTGATGTCAAAGTAAGTCAAAAGGAAAAGAGGGGAAGAGTACAGATCCTCTTTAATGTGTCCTGTTTGAAAGAAAGGAGACGCGTATACGGTCGCTCCCCGTGCCTTCTTTGTGCCCCAGCCCTGCCTCCCCGGTGCCCAGGAGCCCGGCCGGGCAGCAACGCTGTGCACAGCGTAACTGGCTGAAGTCAGGCAGACCAGCAGGCCCTGTGGAAGTTGTCACTGGAGATGCTGGCACAGTAGCATAGAGACACCTTTGCAAGGAGGGGTGGTCTTCTCATTTCCACCATCCCAGCCTGTGAGGAGGGCACCATTCCTGTTGTGGATTCAAGCACGGATCCAGAGGGCTGGAGTAGAGACCATAGACTCGCATGCTGACGGCTCTCTTCCCTTTGGGTACAGTTGCTTCACATGGGCTTGTACGTGGGTAACAAAGATCGAGTTCATGATCAGCTCCTTGGATTCACTTCCATAGGCAAGTATCTTGGGTATGATCTTCGCGGTCCCAGTACTGGATATCTGGGGGCCTGACCATATAGTTACGTCATTAGCAATGATCCATGCATCTGCATAAAGGATCATGTCAGTAAATTTGAGGTCAGTGCGTTTTGTGGCCAGGGTCCTGATCTGAGGTCAGTGCATTGGGCAGACCTTCCTCTGCCATGGGTCATCAGTAATTTACCACCATTACAGTGGAGTGGGTGGATCATTCCAGAGAATCTTCCCATCTCAGGGCGGGCTGTTTCACCCGTGCTCACTTGTCAGTGGCCAGTGTTACAGGTGGACCCTTTGCTGAGCATCAGTTTGGGTCCAGCGGTAAGTGAGGCCGTGTTTCCAGCTAGTGTGTAGACAGCCACCTCTTCACAAGGATGGCTGAAGGTTCTAGGCCAGATCTGGCCTTTAATCGGGTGCCATTTCTAGCTCAGGGTGGAATTTTCTGGAATTTGTGCAACCTTATGGGAATTTGGTTCCACCAAGCATTACTGGGGAACTCAGGACAATTGAAGGCACGCATCTTGTGGGAGGAGTCTGCGGGAGGAGCCTACCGGAGGCGTGCAGGAAGGAAACCCACCTCAAGAGTGCCCAGGATTTCCAGCCAAGTGCAACAGCAGCCACTCCAAGACAAGCAGGTCGTTCAAGTGAGGTGGATTTGCTGCCGCAGAAGTCACTAGGGAGGGGCTGCTGAGAGTCAGGGGAGACGAGGGGGGAGGTGTTCCGAGTCTGGGAAAAAGCGGCAAGATGGTGTACACTTTGTGGCTGAAAGTTGGGGGACTAAGAGAAAGGGGCCAGGTGGTACTCTGAGACCAAAGGCATAGATTTAAACATTTGTATTATGAAAAATTATAAATAAGCATTCAACGCGAGAATTTTTAAGCCCAAGGATAGTAGGTGAGAGGGCATGATAAAGACAAAGCAGAAATCAAAGAAATTAACAACTAAGAGAAATGACCAATTGTTCCAAGATTAGTTTTTACAAACATGCAGTTGGGTAGAAAAACCTCTGAAAATTCTAATACCGAAAAAAAAAAGGGGGGGGGAAGGGAGATCACAAAAAAGAAAAAGAGTGGGGGGAATGGAACACAAGACATAAGAATAGATATGCAGGGGGGTTTTTTTTTCAACTGTAAGAAAATATGGTGGGACAACTTTATGCTAATATATTTCAAAGTCTCAATGAAATGGATCATTTTCTGTGAAAATACAAATCACTAAATTTGTCTCAAAGAGAAGTCACAAAAACCTGCAATGCATAACAAGCATGGAAGAAAGCAAACCGGTTTCAAAAAACTGCCACCCCAAAAAAGGCTTTGGGCTCAGACTGTTGTCACAGCGTGTTCTTTCAAATGTTCATGGAACAGATAATTCTCACATTATGTAAACTATTCCAAAGTACAGAAAACGAAGGAATACTCTCCAACTGATTTTATAAATCTGGCATAGCATTAAGAATAAAATCTAAAACAGGGTAAGTGAATAGATTCATTTCAATAATAAAGATACAAAGCTTCTAACTAAATCCTAATTAGATATTAGCACACTAAATTCGACAACACAACAAAAGCCAATGACAGCTTCTGGGGAGACACGCAGGCTGCACACGCTCCTGCCACGTGCCACTGCAAGGATGCTTGCGTTTGCTGTGGGCCAAATGACACCTGCATCGGGGAGCTGATGCCCCACCCAAGAGGGCAGCCCACGGAGCAAGGACCTCCCTACCCTGCCCCGCAGCGAGAGGACAGAGCTGAGTTTGTGGGAGACTTGGTGGAATAAAAAAACCTTGTGTCCAGCACCTGGGAACGATGCTCCACAGTTTCCCCCAAATAACTCCTCTGCGCGCCCAAGATCACCCACATTCTCAGCCGCAGAGGGAGGTAAGAGCAGCCCCAGTAATTAAAGGAAAGTCACTTTGCTCTCCCTGCTCCCCATTGGGCACTCGAAAGGGAGGGGAGGACAAACAAGAGCCAGAGATCCCCGCTTGAGCCTCTGCAGAGGGAAGCGAGGAACCAGGATTTACGCTGAATTTGAGATCGAAGAGTTTGATGGGGTTGAATGTCAGTCACTTGGGATGGGGAAGCTGGATGCTCTGGAACCAGTAGGGGAGGCAATCCGGACAGAGTCTGGAGGAAAGAAGTGCGTTTTTTTATATTTTCTTCTTTTCATCATCTGTGTTTTCCTGATTTCCTATAACAAGCATACGTCACTTTTATAAACAGAAAAGAATTTTCAGATTGGAACTGATGCTGTGGATTGTGTGGAAAGGAAAATTTGCCATTTAGGGAAGGTTTGAAGGAGGCTGTGATATTTAACCTTGAGAAGATTTAGAGGATTTAGAAGATTTAGGTAGATTTAGATATCATATATCTGAAGAGGTTGTCTTTGTAACTGTCAACTCCATAAAAGTGTAAGCATGAATCATCATCGTCATCATCATATTTGAAGAAAAATAGGCTTATTCTGTGATCTTGTAGGTGCCGAAACAGAGGTCATTGATTTCCAACCTCAGGGAGACAGATCTCAGGCCCATGTGAGGATAACCTTTCTATCCACTGGGCAGCCCAGTGTGGATCAGTCTCCCAGTTAGAGAGTTACAACTAGATTTCCCCATAAGCGCCAGGTAAGGCAGTGTGCAGGGTCCTGGACCAGCAGAGACTCCCTCCACCAGCCCCTGGCTCCCTGCCCAGCCTCAGCCCCTCCCATCATTCCTCCACATTCCCAGTCCTCCGAAAGTCTGTACCCTTGCTGGCGCCCCGTGGGGGTAGAACCTTGTTCTTCTCAATCCTACAACCCTGGGACTCTGCCTGACACACAGCAGGCACTCAGCAGGAGCTGGCTAACTGATTGAATAAAGCAAACACACCGTCGTCGATGCCCTGTTTCTTAATCCACGCAAGCAACAGCATACTAAAGCCAAAGTGACTGCGTGTGCAGGGCTTAAAACCCGGACTGCTCGCTATCTCTTTTGTAATTCTCTGAAGCAAACTCTATGCCCTATAAATCAATCAAGGTGGACATGATTATTGTGCACTTTGGTTAATTGCAAACCCAATCATTTCCCATATTTAAAAAATGGCCTTTTACATAAAGTTGAAATGAGCCACTGGTTTTGAAAGTGCACGTAATGTGCTTTCCTGATGGGCAAAGGAACTTCAGGGAAATATTTATTGTGCTCACGGATGACATTCAGCTATTGTCCGTGTTCCTTTTTATGGCATCATAAAGATTACTTTTTACGGTCAGGCTAGCTGACATCTTCATCAAATCCCCTAATGTGCACATTCACCGGGCGATCATTTGTGCCAATGAGTAACATTCAGCAACATTCAACAAAGGTTTATGAGTGCTTGCTCTGAGCAGGGCCCTGAGTAATGGGATTTGTTTCCAAAGCTTTCAAATCTGCTAAAAATATTCTCCATTTCACAAGCAGTCCGGACAAAACCTAGCTTGGTCTAAGTCTCCTCTCTGGGGCCCACTGGGTGAAAATGCACCTATAGCTGCCCAGAGAAATAAAAGCTCCCTTGAAGGACCCTCCAGATCTCCTGGAAGGCTGTCTCTAGCTGGCTCTGGAGAACGTGCCTGTTAAATCCTGTGGACAAGCTCTGTCTCTTAGCAACTGACTTTGGGGCATGCTGCAACCCCTCAGCCCTGGGAACTTGCCTGGCCGCCTCCCGGAGACCAGGGAAGCTGGATGACCACCAATCCTCTTCTGTCCCTAGGTCAAAAGGCAAAGGCACCTTCAAAGCAGTGAAAGCAACACAGCTAATTAGCACCTCTGAGGTCCAGTTTCTTTGTCTGCTAGTGGGGACAGTACTGCCTTACCTCCCAGGAATGTTATGAAAATCAAAAATAAAAGCTATCAAAGATAAACCACCTAGCAGGGAGGGTAGAGCTCAGTGGTAGAGGGCGTGCTTCGCGTGCACGAGGTCCTGGGTTCAATCCCCAGTACCTCCGTTAACATAAAGTAAATAAATAAATAAACCTAATTACCCACCTCTTAAAAAAAAAAGATAAACCACCTAGCTTAGTGCAAAGCATCAAGTAGCTGTCCCCAAAAGGCTCAACTCTTTGCATTTCTTCAGGCCACGAAATGGCCAGAGAAGACCCCCCCTCCCTCGCCCACCTTCTGCCCCCTCTCAGGCTACCACACAGAAGTGGCAGAGAGATGGAGAGAAGAGGACAGATGTGGAGAAGTATGCCAGAAGGGAACTCAACTGGCCTCAGTGGCACGGGAAGGGAGGGGATGGAAGGGTTGGTGCTGGCGCCAAGTCTTCTAGCCAGGTGACCGTGTCGATGGTGACGCTAGGGGCAAGGGACATCCTTGCTTTGAGAGCCCTGTGCTCTGGCTTTGGCTGTAACCTCTGTCCCCTTTCATGTCCTTCTTCATTCACCAAACTCTCCCTCTTACGACCGCGATGTTTCCTCCTCCAGGAAGCCTTCCTTACCCTCCGAGAGGGAAGGAACCCTCTCTCCTTCAGTGCTGTGTGGTTCTCAGCATTCCATCATCATGGATTCTGATCTCTCTCCATTGGGTGGGGGTGCTGCGCCTGGGTGTCTGGGACAAGCAGGCAGAAGACAGATGAGACTGAACAAACCATGAATGAGCAAACTACCCATCGGCTCCCCAGCAGGAAACAGAATCTAACTCAGGTGGCATAGAGGGAGAGGCTCTAATTAGGGGGAAGTTTCAGAGGTGTGGCACGGTCCAGCAAAGACAAACAAGGGAGACTGAGGCTCCCAGAGACAAATGCCCGGGAAGCTGTTGCCACCCCTAGGGGGCAGGGGGTAAGTGATGTTACCGGGAGGACGCAGGTAGGGGAAAGATGCCGCCTTCCTCCATTCAGGATGCTGGAGCAGGAGAGAAAATGGTCCTCACCTCTCCCCCACCCTCTTGTCTCCAACCCACGCCTCCTATTGGCCACTACTAGGCACTGACTTGTGCCTTCCAAAACTCACATGTTGAAGTCCTAACACCCAGCACTTCAAAATGTAATTGTATATGAAGAGAGGGCCTTTAAAGAGTTAATTTTAAGGTAAAATTGGGTCTTTAGGGCGGGCTGTCATTCAGCATGACTGGTGTGCTTATCAGAAGAGAAGATTTGGACACAGACACACAGGTGAGGCGGGGGGGTGGGGGAAGGGGCATGAGGGGAAGACGCTGGAAGAGGAGGAAAGAGGCCTCAGGAGAAATGGATCCTGCCGACACCTTGATCTCAGACGCTCCCACCTCCAGAACCGAGGAAAGAATTTCTGTCATCTGAGCCACTCAGTCTGCAGGATGTGTTCCGGGTACCTGAGCAAGCTGATCCAGGTACCCGGCTGGAATCCAGCATGCAAAGCAACAGGGCCACGTGGTCCTTAGGGGTCAGCCTCCTGCAGCCTAAAGCAGAGCAGAGAAGGGCGGGGTAGGGGGTGGTGCCTGGGCAGAGGGCAAAGGAAGAGTAACCTACACACAATGACTCATCAGTTCAGACTGGATGTTGAGTGCAGAGCAGAGAGGAGTTGATTCTGTGCTCAGAACTCAGCATGAGGTTGGAAAGCTGGAGCAGGGTCAGAGGGAAATGCCGCCCCATCCCACTCCCCCGGAGCCAGGTGGTACCCTCGGGGAGAAGGGAGGCCCAGGGGCTGTCCAGCCTGGATAGAAGGGAATACAGATTGCACTGCCTGGAGAAGCCACAGGCAGTCTCAGCTTACCCTGCACGCCTAGAACACACAGGACCAGCGGATCTGGTTCATGGGCCCTGGATCTAGTACCGACTGAGCCACGCAAACGGCAAGGACTGGAACCGGGATGAAGGCGCTGACTTTCTCTACACCTTCCGAGCCCTGGACTGTGTACTGTGTTTCCCAGGTATGATCTTATTTCATGATCCCAAGATTTCTTTTTTATTTTAATTTTATTTTTATTGAAGTGCAGTTAACTTACAATGTTAGTTTCAGGTGTACAGCAAAGTGATTCAGTTGTACACATATATATAAATATATTTTTTCAGTTTATTTTCCATTATAGGTGATTACAAGAAATTACATCTAGTTTCCTGTGCTATACAGTAGGTCCTGATTGTTTATCTATTTTATGTATAGTAATGTGTATCTTTTAATTCCAAGGGGATTTCCACCCTGTGATGTGCCCTGTGTCTGCTTCAAAATAAAAGAAGAAAGTGAAAAACACTTTATCTGTCCTGATCCCAAGATTTCTAAGCAAACACTGAGTTCTAATTTGCAGGTAAAGAGATTGAAGCTCCAGACCCCAAACTAGTGAAACTGAGAATCACCTGAGTGCCTTGAAAATGCAGGTTCCTGGGCCCCCGAGCAGGAATTCTGATTCAGTGCATGTGTGGTGGGGCCCCATCACATGCATTTTACAGAAGAGCCCTGGGAGGCAGGCAGTCCCTTCGGTTACGCCTTGACAGGGCAGGAGGAGGCATCTCAGGGCTACAGCAAGGCCTGCCGCCCCTGGACTTGTTAGTGGGCAGACACTGGTCCTAGGACGATGGAGACATGGAGCAGACCTGAACCCGACCTGAAATCCAGGGTTTAGCAGGGCCCAGCAGAGCCCACAGTCAACTGATAATACAGCAATACACGAAATTATTTGTGAAAGACTAGAATTATTATTGGAGTTAATTTCTATTAGTTTTTCTCATATTATTATTTAAATGGTTGTTAATTTTTGACAACGAAATCCTTTCTTCACTTGGGAGCTTATTATGCAAAATAGATACAAGGTGTGACTCTGGTTGAAGCTGGGTTGAGTCGCCCAGATACCCCCATGTCAGCAGCTGCCCCCACCCCGAGGCGCCTCCACCAGGCTCTGTGGCACAAGGTCTACCATCCACTGCCTTTGTCCTAAGTCTGGACTTGAGCTCTGACATCCTGTCACCCACTGGAAATGTTCCGGCATCCTTCCTACTGTCCCAGACCCATCTAAAGCCAGTCTCCTAACTGAGCCCCAGTAACTTAGCTGAGCCCCAGAGGGCCCACCTGCCCCCAGCAGGCTCCTCGCCTCATGATACAATAGTGAACAGAGTGATGGCCCAGATTTCCAATGTGACTCAAAGCCTTCTTCTGGCAGGCCCTTCCACGTCTCATTACAAGACTCCCGTTGTTTTACTGATTCATCTCACCCAGGAGCTCAATATTCCTTGGGGAAACAGCCTCCCGCCCCACTTTCATCCCCATTCCATGCCATGTGGGTGGAGTGGACTCCGTCTCTCCCCATCTCAACAAGTAAATGGCTGACTCAAGCCAGAGTCAATCCAAGCATCCATCCTTCTGGCCACAGTGATTGGTTCAGGCTCGGGCAAGCCCTCCAGCCAACATAACTGAGACTCACTTCTGGAACTTCAGCCAGAACTTTCTTTCAGCCGATATCTCTAAGCTATAGGAAAGAAGCCACAGCTGCTGGTAGCCACTGTGTGAGAAAAACCTGTCTAACAACGGAGTCACACAAAGGAAAGAGGAAAGAGATGGAGAGAGACATGTGGTACCTCTGAGCATCCGCATCCCATCGTGCCTGGTGCTGGCCCAGCATCTCAGTAATATGAACCAATACCGTTACTTTCCTTTACTTAAACCAGCTGGAGTTGGCGCTGACTACAATCCCCTTAGAAGCTGAACTACCCCGACCTCGCTTTGTCCCTTAGAATGTATGCTGGACAATTGCCCATCCTCGCCCAGGCAGCTTTAGGGTTTGTGTCCCAGCATTTGCCTCCTGGACACTGCCTACTGGGACATCCTCTGCCCCCTGCTCCTCTGGGCACCGTTGTCCCAAGGAAGCTAGACCTTCCTCTGCCCATGCCTGTCTTGAAATCCACCATGCCACCTCTTCTAGCCCTTAACCCAATATCATTTGCCTTTGATGAATGAAAAGAAAAGGAAACAATCCACTCAGAAGGAAAGAGCAACATTTTTCCCACTTGCCTCTTTTCAGGGACCGACCACAGCCCCGCTGCGGGCGACAGCTGTCACTGAAGAGTAAGAGCATCTGAGGCAGAGCTGACGAGGACGTTTAAACGGGTGAGAAAAGCTATCGATTGTTGACATGCTGCTGGCTCCTTGGGTTTAGATCAATAGCTCATCGATGCCTCCTTCTGAGTGTTTAACAACCTGCCTCCTTCTCCCCTCCAGACACAACCAGGGCTGCTCCGACCCTGGGAAAGAAAGCAGAGCTTGGCTACGTGCCACGTGGAGCAGATTTTCTTTGTTTCAAACGATTTGTCTCGAATGATCTGGGTCCCACGGGCCCAAGGGTCTGCTCGCTTAGATAGTCATTCATCACACAAACACCCACTCTGATACTAAACACACTGAACTCAACACCCCTGTCCCTCTGCCGAGAAACTGTGACCCTGCTCAGTGGCTGGGGCCCCTTCCCCGGCCCCAGGAGGGATGTTCACTATGTGGCTAAGTGATCATGTATTTTGATTATATTTGCAAAAGTTAAAAAGAAAAATGCAGGTGTCCTGAAGCATCCCAGCACGGCTTGCATGTAGGTCCACAGCTGACCCTTGCAGTGAAACAGTTTCTCACCTGCTTACGAGGATTCAGCTGCCTCTCAGTGCCACCAGCGCACTGGATGTGAGAGACCTGAAACGCAAGTGCCGTTGGCTCATCCGGCCCAGTGTCCATTTATCTGTAATCTCCCAGGGCAATCTCATCCCTCACAGCATCCTTGTCAGCTCTGAGGCTAATGTTCACCAGGGCTGAACGTATGTCTGATAAGACAGCGTCTTTGAGCCCCAAACTGAAGCCCCTCCTGACCTTCAGAGGGTTCCCAGACGACCTGCAGACACCTCAAACTCAGTGTGTCCAAACTGAACTCTCTATCCTCCCCCGAAACCTGATGATCTAACCACATCTCAGGTCCCAGTCCCTATTGAACAACGGACTGTGTGTCATAACCATAACCAACCACCTCCACCTCTTGATCTTAAATGCTTGATTCCTCTTTG